TTACTACTATGGACTTCGACGAAAACAGGAAAAAAATTAAGTCGGACAAAAACTACGATAAAACCTGTTGGAAAGGATCTTTTGCAGCGATTTTTGTGTGAGCATATCAGTGAACACCCCAGACCACTCAGTGAGTTTCACGTCTTTGTAAACTAAAGTTTTATGCGTTTTTATGAATGATTGTTCGAGTGCACATGTGCTACCATTGTAAAGGTGGGGGGGTGCTAACACAGAATCCAAAAATTCTCATGACAGGAGCATCTGTCTAAAAAACAATCTTAACTATTCTATTTCATCAGGGACGATCTTAAAACAGGGCTTTAATTGTAAAATACCGAACTTGTCCTTTAATAGTTAAGGTGATTTGTTCAATTATCACAAAGACTAATTAACTGTTCTTGGTGCATGGTGCATGCTAAGTCACAACTTGCCTGATCTTGCTTAGGTTTAAAATTATAAATTACCTTTCCTTAGTATTTACCGATGAATGAGTTGCCCAGTCCATGGCCTGATAGATAGTTATCTCCACTGAAAGCTATTACTTAAACTGATAAAAAAAAAATTTATTTAAAAAATAAAATAAAATAACCTGTCTGCATTACATTGACGATTGACTCTCTTCTAATTTTTAAATCATATGTTTCTACTTTACAGAGAAAAATATACTTTGTAAAGCCTTCAAGCTTATTTTTTTTTTTTAAATTGTGATCCTAACACTTCTGGCAAAATAATTAGTAAACTAAGCTTCTAAAATGTAATAAGGCTGTAGTTTCATATTATACAAATTTCCAAAGCTGAAAAGTGCTTTTATTTTATGTTCATTTTAATTCATACAAATGGCAAGGGTTTATCAGGCCTTATACACTAAGCTATCAGTACAACAGCACCCCCTAGAACTGATAAAGGCATAGCTTATAGGCACAGCAGAACTTTGTCAAAAACATTGATTTATACAGAGCTCTTACAACTGCATCAGTTTATAAACTTGTGAATGAAAGGATCTGTAAAGAGGAACAGTACAACACATTTGAATAGGACTGTAATGAAATTGAAAAAGGGATAGTTTTATATAAAAAAAGGATTATGACAAGTGGCATCACAAGATCCAATCTTATATGTCAAAAGGAAGTGATACGGGGGATGTGTGTCATTTGCCTTTTACTCTAGCCCTTTTACACTCTCCATTCACACTTGTGTTTTTCTCACCCTCTCCATCTGGGCCAGATCTACTGCGTATGAGCACTGAGATGCACTGTAATAGGATGTATGTATTCCGTACTTAAATATAAGGACTGCTGACCCAAACTGTTCTGCACATCATTAGTGCACATTTGACTCAGTAGCTACGTTTACATGGACACAATCGGATTGAAATCAGTACGATTGATGAATCCGATCAAGGTGTTTACATGAATGATAAATAAAGTGATCAGGTTATTTGACTCAGAGAGTTTAAGTGTGCAGAATGTATGTTCACCAGAACTGTACTATTGTTCCCCATTGATTGTCAACGATTGATATGGGTTTCATTTTCTCCTTCTCTTACTCCAGCTATCATGGTTTTCTCCCAGTTGAGTTTGTTTGGGAATGAAAAAATAAAAATGTACTGTGAAACCCCATTACCTTCTTAAGACCCTATAGCACTCTAGAGAACACATAAATAATTTAGATAGACACAGAGTCCAGAGAGAGTGGCCATGATTGTTCACATACATTTCAGTTTCCACTTGAATGGTTGCAGCACCTCATGTAAAGTCAGCATGAAATTAAATGTATTTCTCAATGCATGTTATAGATTTTGTTGTGAACAATTCATCCATGCATATGTGTAATAATAATAATAAAAACCCACATTTCAAAATCCAATTAAAAACAAATGCATAGAACCAAGTCACAACCACAATGCAGAAGAAAAGATTGATCGCCACTATTGCAACTGTCCATACAGCACAGACATGACCATTTTACAATATCTAATATAGTGAGTAAAATAAGTATTTGAACACCCTGCTATTTTGCATGTTCTCCCACTTAAATCATGGAGGGGTCTGAAATTGTCATCATAGGTGCATGTCCACTGTGAGAAAATATTAAAAAAAATATATATATAATATATAAAAAAAAAAATATATATATATATATATATATATATATATATATACAGAATCACATGATTTTTAACAGTTTATTTGCATGATACAGCTGAAAATAAGTATTTGAACACCTGTCTATCAGCTATAATTCTGACCCTCAAAGACCTGTTAGTCCAATGACCTCAATGATCCGAAGAAAGGTGAGAAATCAGCCCAGAACTACATGGGAGGAGCTGGTCAATGACCTGAAAAGAGCTGGGACCACCTTTTCCAAGGTTACTGTTTGTAATAGTAAGACGTAAGACGTCATGGTTTGAAATCATGCATGGCATGGAAGGTTCCTCTGCTTAAACCAGCACATGTCAAGGCCCGTCTTAAGCTTTCCAATGACCATTTGGATGATCCAGAGGAGTCATGGGAGAAAGTCGTGTGGTCAGATGAGACCAACATAGAACTTTTTGGTCATAATTTCACTAACTGTGTTTGGAGGAAGAAGGATGATGAGTACCATCCCAAGAACACCACCCCTACTGTGAAGCATGGGGGTGGTAGCATCATGTTTTGGGGGTGTTTTTCTGCACACGGGACAGGGCAACTGCACTGTATTAAGGAGAGTATGACTGGGGCTATGTATTGTGAGATTTTGGGGAACAACCTCCTTCCCTCAGTTAGAGCATTGAAGATGGGTCGAGTTTGGGTCTTCCAACCCAACATGACAATGACCCGAAGCACACAACCAGGATAACCAAGGAGTGGCTCTGTAAGAAGCATATCAAGGTTCTGGCGTGGCCTAGCCAGTCTCCAGACCTAAACCCAATAGAGAATTTTTGGAGGGAGCTCAAACTCTGTGATTGACTGATCTAGAGAGGATCTGTGTGGAGGAGTGTGTCCTACACAGATCCCTCCTGCAGTGTGTGCAAACCTGGTGAAAAACTACAGGAAACGTTTGACCTCTGTAATTGCAAACAAATGCTACTTTACCAAATATTAATATTGATTTTCTCAGGTGTTCAAATACTTATTTGCTGCTGTATCATACACATAAATAGTTTTAAAAAATCATACATTGTGATTCCTGGATATTTTATTATTATTATTATTTATTTATTTATTTATTTTTATTATGTCTCTCACAGTGGACATGCACCTACGATGGCAATTTCAGACCCCTCCATAATTTCTAAGTGGGAAAACTTGCAAAATAGCAGGGTGTTCAAATACTTATTTTCCTCACTGTATGTACACACACATATGGAATAGTAATGCTTGAAAGTTTTGTTTTCTCTGATTTTCTCTGATTTCTCTGAATCATTTTAACTTGAAATTAGAGTTTTAGCTAGGGGTAACTGGATTCTGGTTTACATCACAAATTTACTGAGCATAAAACAGCTAACATAGCAATCATTCTTTGGAATTCTTTTGGCTGTCTTTGGAATGTTTTTTCTTGATGAAATACAGAATTGGCTTACTAGCATCCTCTACTGGTTGTTTTGAATACTCCAACATTTGTCTCACAGGACATAGGGCGCTTCTCAAATGCTGTGAAGGCTGTGTCCTAGTAAGGCTCTATATCTCGGCTGCTACATCATTAAGTGCAGCCAAAGACTGTCTCAGTTTGAAGGGTCCTTGGAAAGCAGTCTTTAGCCCTTTGGAAGCATTCTTTGCGTCCTTTCTTTGCCCAATCTTTAGCACAAATTCCAATTCACGAAAAATAACTGATAGAAAACGAGTCAGCACTGAGCTGATCTGTGAGACAAAAATAATGTTTTAAGGTTATTTTTTTTTTTTTGTCTAAATTAATCACTTAACACACTAAAAAACTGCCAATAATATAAGCTACTGGTCTTACATTTACTGTATTGCATTAATAGAAATCCAGTTAATATAAAGATTTTCGATACAAAGTATTTTTCCAAAAGTAAACATGTTCCAGAAACATGTGACACAGCCATGTGGAATTACTTCACTGTTTCATTTTAGATTTTAATGTTGAGAAAGACTCTAGCTTACAAGCCTCCGAAGGACTGGATTTGAAAGGACACTGTTGAGAATTTATTAGCTAAAAGACTGTTTAAAAGAATAGTTTGAAGTTAAGATTTATAAGTTAATGTTTTGATACCCAACACTAAGAATAACAGTTCATGTTATCAGATATATGTGGTTAAAAAACATTCTGTTTAATTTGATTTGTGAATTGACTTCATATCCCACTAGGCATTGTCGATGGGCGTGGACACGTGATCCACGTAATGTTTATGTTGGGCATTCTGGGCAACCGCCATTATGTGAATGACTGCTGAACAAGCACGCTGTATTTTACTTGTTTTCTTTTATTAAACGTCAAAACCGAAGCAGCGTCTCACATCGTTATTCCCAGTTGAGAAGACGATAAATGTGTAACAGACACAGTCTCATGAGGCAGCTTTCCATTTGAGAAGCACCCATATTTGCCAGATGTTGTTTTATCTAAAGTATGAAGTTCCGGGGTCAAACGTCATAACAGGACCCTAATAATTAAGAAAAAAGGAGAAAGGTCATGGATTAAAACTGGTTTGATGTGAACAGCCTTTTATTATGAACCTCTGAAAAATGATGCTACTAGTTTGAATCAAGGTAAACATGAGTGTGATATCCACCTTAATTTAAATGTAAGAGTGGATGCAGCCATTTTGAACTTCCAGTCTCAGCTACTCCCATTTATTTTGGCTGTACAAAATAATTCTATTCTGCTTGAAACTGCAAACTGGTATTTGTTATTATATTATTGAAATTTATTATTGTAATCATAAACAAATAGTTTTACTGTTTACCGCACTACATATAGAGGCTACTGATTCAGGAGTCTTGCACATTCACAGGAAATAGCTTCATTCTGTTCTGTGTAATGTATTTCCCTTCCTCCTGTAGAAAGTCTGATGCTGGGGACAGAGATGGATCTCCAGCTGGTGGAGGGCACTGTTGTAGCCTTGGAGAGTGCTCTGAAAATGTGGCTTCATGACCAGGGCGGAGAAAGAGAACAACTGCACTTGTTGTTACCTGCTTCTCTCACAGCTCAGGGATCTTCACCACATCCTGCCAACAACAGGCCAAGCCCAGGTATACAGTTTATAAACGAAATTTAAGAATTTATTTCAGACTTAGATGTAGGTACATCTATTAAAATATGTATTCAATAATCTATTTCTTGCTGTACGCAGCTCCAAAATGAATATTTTTGCGTATTTGCGTTGTGTTAGGAGGTGTATGTGATGTTGCTTTTGCTGCATTTGCGCAGTCTGTTTGAAGTGCGACATGCAGGAAAGACTTCTCAGTCCAGCCCTGCTTCCCAGTAATCCTGACCTTGGAGTGAAGACTGAGAGCATGCAAGATTTCCAGCAGCCAAACAAGAGCCTGGTCAACCCCTCGCCACAGCGCCTACGAGTTGTCAAGTACAGTCTCGTCTGTAGTCAGACTTTGTTTTAGAGTTAAACTGTGAGCAAATGACGATAGATTAGCTTAACTTATTTTTATGAATGGGGTTTTGCCACAGAGCTCTCAGAGTGTTGTGATGTTTTATATTGTAATATAATACATCATATACCTGGGAAAGTCCATAATAGTGGTTTTGATGGCTTCTAATATAGATATATTGAATAGGAACACAAAAACTCCGTATGTATGTGGCCTCTGAAACATAGTTAATGTACAAGTATGACTGTGTGAGGGAGAAAAAATCTATGCAAAAGTCAAAAATATGACTGAGACCGCTCTGTTTGAGTCCTCTGTTTCCAACACAGTCATACATTGTGTTCCCCATGAGTGTTTTGCATATGATTTTCATGCACATGAGGTCATTCTTCCGGGCACTGTGAGTGTGACACAATCATACCACTTGTCCCCACCTAGCCATTATGGGACAACTTGACGTACACTTGCATAATTCCCTTTCCGCTTACACTTTTTAAGAAATGGATACCCCTTTTTGTTAGTAAGGATGCATTAAATTGGTCAAAAGTGATAGGAAAATATTTATAATGTTACAAGATTTGTTTCAAATAATTGCTGTTTTTTTCTGAACTTTATATTTATCAAATAATCCTAAAAAGTACTTTTTTTTCAACATATATACAATATATATATATATATATATATATATATATATATATTTAGCACCATAATCGAATGATTTCTGAAGGATGGTGTGACACTGGAGAAATAGCTGCGGAAAAGTCTTAAATTAAATTAAAATATAAAATATTTATTTGAAATTGTAATATTTCACAATATTAATATTTCACAATATTATTACTATATATTTTTTTTTAAATAAGAGGAATCATAAATATTGCATTTAGATTTATGTTTAAATGATTAACTATTTCACACAACATAACAGGTGTATACATTCCACAAGAACTAATAATAACTGAATTTATACCATTAACATACAGCAATATCTAATCAATAACAAAAAAATAATAATATAAAGATATACACCTTTATATCTAGCTGTGTGTGTGTGTGTGTGTGTGTGTGTGTGTGTGTGCGTGTGTGTGTGTGCAACAGAGTTCTTCATGCCGATGGAGTTTGTCAGTCTGTGCTGTATGGACTACCGCTCGTCATCAGACCAACCTCATGCTGGCAGCTGGACTGGGATGAAATAGAAACAAACCAACAGACATTTCATGCTCTCTGCCACATACTTAAAGTCAGTGTGTGTGTGTGTGTGTGTGTGTGCGCGCGTTCATTCATAGAGCACAACTGTGTGATAATCTGTTATTTAAGAATGTAGAAATGTTGTAAAAAAAGAAAAGCTACACTATATATAAATCTGTTTGTCAGACCCGTGACTGGTTCCTGTTGGTACGCTCAGAGCCAGGGACAGGATCAGGTTCTGGTGTGCTCTCATACTATGTACTTCAGTCCTCTGGTTCTCTCTCTCTGCTGTTGAAACCTGTGCTGACACGAGAACTGATGCTCCCCTGCTGTCTGCCTGTCTCAATGGAGGACCCACCACTTCCTGCACTCGCCACTGTGGAGGTGCCATTACATAGACAGACATCTAATGCATAACTATCATTGTTTGAAAAACACTGTGACTGAATATCTCACTATCAACTTGAGTCATTTAGAATCAACAAATGGTTATGTGAATTCTGCATTGTGTGCAATTACTAGTACTAAAGGGATAGTTGATCCAAAAATGACAATTCTCTTACCATTTACTCCAAATGTGTGAATTGTTTTTCTTTAAAAGAAGAAATTTTAAAGAATGTTGGGGTCCAAACAACATTGGACACCACTGACCTTTCTTGTATACAATGTTCAAAAGACATACAAAGTATCTTTTTTGTGTGTTCCACAAAAGGTTTGAAATAACTTTAAGAGTAAATGATAATATAATTGTTTCCCTTTAAGGGAGTTTACTAACCCTTTACAAAATAACATGTTACACCTCCATGATGATTATGTGATCACTGTGTCCAGAGCTCCCTAGAGCAGCTTGAGAAGGACCCTGTTTTTAACCCTCTCTGTCTGGACTCCAACCTTTACCTGCACCTGAGATTTAGAGGTTTGCTCACCCACACATCTCAACCATTTGGAGCACAAGGCCAGGGCCGAGGCCAACGCAGGGGCGCCAGTCGACCACCAGAGGGCTCCACACAGCGTCAGGTTAGAGGATTAGAATGGAACAAAAATGTCTGAGATACAGTATGTACAACACATAAGTGAGTAGAACATAAATTTATAGATCTGTGTTGTCTAGAATTTTAATGATCTGCAGTTTCCTATAACTAAACAGTTTTGGACAGTAAGTTAGAGCTGTAGAATTATTGGTATTATTATGGTGAGAATTGAGTAACATGTTAATGTTTTAGTGAAATAGAGGAAATATTTTTCTCATACCTCCATTATAAAAACATAATGACAAAATATGGCATTAAACCTGATATTGTGCCAGTAGTGTTGGCTTAAGTTGACCTAAATAGATCAGATGTAATCAAGTATAGAAGAGGCGTGTGTCAAACAACCTCAGCAACTTTTAAACTAAAATGTCAACATGTTCAGCTCTAAATCTGCTATTTTAGAAAACAAACTAAAACGCCAATGAAATATCTTTCTATTAACATCTTTTAACAAAGACATACACTATGGCAAATGGTTGAATTGAGAAATCCGTTGCATGTGTGATGTTGGAAAGGGAAATGTATTGCCCCTGAGAGCAAAAACGAAACCAAGCACTGGCCTAATACTGAAACACCCACACAAAGGGGAAAGACAAAAAGGGTAAAGGTAGAATGAGAGACATAAAGAGCAATACAAAGAAATGGGTTCCTATTTTGAATCTGGCCACAATTCGACTCAACGTGACCAATTTTCCAACCTCATGTGCTTTGTGATGTCACAGATTATAAATAGAAGAAAGATATTTAGCAAATTCAAAACAAAAATATAGTCATTCTTCTAGTGCACTGAAAAATACAGTAGATGTAACAAGCTAATCTTATATTCTAAATAAAGCATGTTAGTTCCTTCAGTTTATAGGGAGTTTTGTGTCAAGCTTGATGAATTATATTTTGCAGCATGATTTGAGATGAGCATGCAAGAGCATCTTGAGCTTCAGTGGAAAACGAACATCTGAGTGAGACTAGTACAATGAGTCACATGATCAATGTTGCAAATGTACTTATTTGATTAGTGACCTAGAAACATTTCCTATGCATTTCTTAATCATTTTTACATAATACTGTTCTTTGTTTAAAATACTTTCAATTAGATTTGAACCAGTCTTCTGTGCAATACTAGACATTTCTGCCTAAAAGGGCAAAAGAGAAGTGTATACAGAGAAGTGTTCGAAGTCACAATGACACCTATTATAATTTCTTAGCAAGCAAAAATTATTATCATTACTTTGGTTGAATCTTGAATCTTGAATAATCTTGATTTTTTTTTTTTTTTTTTATGTGCAGCCAAACTTGAATCCTATGGTAGAGAGTTTGACATGATCTGGCTCTATGCTTGTTCTTGCTCACTCTCTCATTTTTCCTGTTCTGTCATTTTTGGTCGCAGGGTCGGCAGTCTCAGAGCCGTGCGCGAGCCACTGTGGCCCCTCTGCAGTCCATTCCTTTAAACAAGATGCCTCGCCCTTCACTGAACCTCAGCCACTCCCGACCCTGTGCCCCTGCCCTGTTTTTCCAGGACAGCTATGAGGAGGAAGACCCTCTGATCATTCAGTAAGCAGAGAGAGAGAGAGCAGAATACTTTCACTGTGAGAGGAAATCACACATTCACTCTCACACTGACTAACATCAACTACTGAGCAAAGCCAGAAATTCTGAACAGTCGTTTCTAAACTCCCACAGACAGGATGTTACATACTTGCACATGACCGGATATGTACTATTACATGTACTACTAATCTGAAAATGTATATATGTGCGGTGCAAACTTGGTTTACTATTTAGAGAACACAGTACTGTTCTGTGCAACCCTGCTTCTCTCATCTAACACAAAGCACATTTTAAAAATTCAATATACACCTTCAGCTAGCTATACAGACAAAAGAAACAAAACATTTGACGGCATATCATTTTTCTTTAGATAGAATTTAATAGTGCAACATCAAAGCTTCATTTATCTACTTGCTTTACACCTCAAATTAATTGACCAAATAAATGACCTATTACTTACCTCGTTACTTCTCCAAATAAAAATGTCAGCAACTTTGAGACTGACACTGCAAAAACAGTCCTCATATCTCAGACGCCCAGTATGCTAAAAACAAGCTGTTTTGTTACCCAAATGGTTGCAATTAAAACAGTCTTCATAGTAACAGCATGATTTCGCTCTTTTGGAGGAGTAATTAAACTAACCGTCATGCCGTACCGTTTAACAAAGGCCGCACCGCAACTGGGAAAATAGTTGTGAGTTGCTGAAAAGGAATAAAATACAAAACCACAGAATTGTAGAAGGAAAAGAATAAAGGCTGTTTAAAGCGAGTGAACTGCCTTCTCAGTGTAAATGCTGTGGCTAGAAGGCTCTGTAGAGAGTTGAGGAGGAAGAGGGCCAGAGTAGTGGAAAAGTAGAGCCATTGTCTTCCTTTATGGAAGCTGCCAGTACAGCCCCAAGGGAAACACACTGTACTCAGCTGAGCAGGAATTCAAGGCCTTCAATGAGTTACAGAGAGGGGGAAGACAAAAAGAGTTCACTGTGTGAAGGGTTCAGCGTTGGAGGCACTGGTTTAGAGTTGTGAGAGCTGAGGGATGCGATTCTGAAAGCAGACTGAGGTCAGAGCTCTACTAATTCTCAATGGGCCTCTCTTATACAGCCCATTAAGTATTGCCTCATTAAGCTTTCTGCCATTCCACCCACCTGGCACCGCCTACGCCTGACGTCTTTATGACATCGTGGTGAGGTTTGGCATTGTGCAAACGGTAGAAAAAGCAGAGAGATAATCTTACGTCATATTTTATGTTCACAATTTCCTAACTTGTTCAGTAGTTACGAAAGAGATTCTGAGAGATTTTTTTTTTTTTTTTTTTTCAAAATGACTCTATACTTCTGATTGACTAATGTCTTAAGCATGTGTTGTCTAAGGGACCAGTGCCCAAATCACTTAAGTTAAGAAAAAATAAAAAAAAAAACATTTATTTGAGTTATTGCTGCTACGGTTTTTCTTAATGTAGGGGGTTTGCAATTTTTTCACAGTATTGTTTAAAATCTGTTAAATGAAGTAGTTCTCTAGAACAATTTCATTTTTGTTTTTACTTTCCCTTTACTAAATATTGTACATTTTTCATAAACCAATGCACTATACTAATACTAAAAAAATGTTAATAAACAATGTTTATTTATATACTACATTCTATATTTCTATTAACATTATTATTACTTGGATAAATGTTTTTTTTTTTAAATATTCTTTGCTGCTGTTTAATGTTTTGCTTTTTCCCTTTTAAGAATAAATAAATCTTGAAAATAGGGATACAACGATACCACTTTATCCGGAACAAGTCCGATACCGATACTTTAATTTTTGGTACTCGCCGATACCATATAACCGATACCTTTATTTTCACTGCATTTGTAATTTTAAATGTATTGGTAGAGAAACCAAAATGATATAAATCATATTAGTTGGCTTAATTTGTTTCTCAAATAAATATTTCCTTCAGTTATTTCCATGCTTAATTAAGACTGCTAAAATGCATTGTATGCGCTTCTGTTACTTTCAGTCTTCATTCTATTGCTCTATCCTATATTAACTTTCATTTAATAGCACAGCACATATTTAGAGCGGCTCCAGCAGGGCTCAGAGCTACAAATGTTTGGACACCAGTGAAATATAATTAGAGGTCGACCGATTCATCGGTTTTGCCGATATATCGGTACCGATAGTTGATTGGTGGAAATATCATTATCGGCAAGTTTTTCCATGTTGCGTCCGTTGCTGGAGTGGCTGAGAAGTGCGTACGGTCATTACACAGCACAAGAGCGCTCAGAAGAGACTGCTGGCATTATACAGAGCGAGAGCGGCCTTTAGAGGACAAATAACAAACAATCACTGGCTGAGTTGTTTACGTTAACACGTGAGGCTGTGCACAGCACAGAGAGTGCTGACACTTTAAATGCGCGTTTAAAACACAGACAGCGAAACGGTTTGAATACAGAACACTAAAGTACATATTGCCATATCATTATAAAGTAATTCATTTATTGACTAGATGCTGCATTAGCAGAGAATTAACAGCAGTATGTTTGCTTTCGAGTCTGAGAGGAAGGGTTAGTTGCATACGGCGAAGTTGCATATTTAAAGCTAGTTACGTGATTGCTTTCTCAACATTGATATGTTCATGCAGCTGAAAGAAACAAACAAATCAGAAACGCATTCGATTTCAGTTATTTTTTTTATTACTTCAATATATGTTGTTATTTCAATTAGATAATCATCAATTGTTATGTAACACATAAAGTGAGAGACTACATCTAATATTGGTCTACATTTATGTAGTTTTAATGCTATGGCCTTTGCCGTTATTTAAATATGGCCATCTTTAAAGGGTCACTTTACCTCTGGAAATATGAATGTGTATTTAAAATGGGTAATTTATGAAGAAATGTGATTTTTTTTTTTAATTTGGTGCTTTCTAGACTGAGAAAAGCCAGAAAATGTATTTTTGGCTTATGTGGATGAAAGACAACAACTCCCAGAATGCACTTGCTTCGCTGCCCTAGGAGGCCACGCCTACCAGTAATAGCGCAGTCGGTAAACAACAAGTCTAGGCTACTACAGAAAATGTGTTTCGAGATCGCCCAAAATGTCCGGGATTCTGCTTTTGCGTTCTACAGTCGCTATTCATCATGTTTACTGTGGCGAGCAGGACGAGTGAGGGCCGTGCGGAGAACGACGCGAGGCCGGTGGCGTGATTACCGATGAGCGACACCTGTGAGACGTAAGTTACCGGTCTCGTATATCTCACGGAGGAGCAGGAATTTTCTTAGCAATGTTAAAACGCACATCAACTGATCCCTTTTTTAGCGTTCATGTAAACACTACATTCAGATTCACCAATCAGAATGAATTCAGTTAGATTGAAACAAAAGCTGTACATGTAAACAATGCATGGCGACTGCAGAAAGCAAAAGCTGAATCCCGGACACATTACATCGACGGCCGGCTAGCTTAACTTCCAAAAAAGATGGCTGAAACTATGTGTAATCCCAATCCTCCATAATGCATTCGTCTGCGTATTCAGTACCTTCGGCCTTATTTTCAAAAAGTTTCTGCCAGTGAAACCCCCCCCCCCCCCCCCCACACACACACACACACTTCCTCCTACAATGACGTAAAATGAAGATTTCTGCATCATTGTACGAGGAAGTGAAAAGGGTAAATAGCAGATTGCTCTCCTCTCAGGGGAAAATGAGAGAGTGTTGCATGAACATTCAATACTATGACTGGATTTCTAACAATGGAAAGCTTAATGCAAATGGTTGGAGTGTCCAAGCATGACTCTTTGGATTTATATGAAATGTTAACACTTTACAATAAGATTCCATTTTTAGCATTAACTAAGGTTAATAAATGTTGTAGAAGTATTATTCACTGTTTGTTAATTTCAACATTTAGTAATTTTAAATTGAGTTTTAATTTTAATTTGATCTGTTGTTACCTTAGTAAATGTACTATAAACTAACATGAACAATCAATTGGTACAATTGTATTGCTCAAATAATAATGCATGCAATAAAACTGTATATTGTATATTGCATAATGCATAGTTCATGAAAGCTATGTGAAAGTCATGAAAGTCATCCTTGTTAACAAATGGGACTTGCAAAATGTTACCTATGAAATTTACAAATGTTATGTTATAGCTAAAAAAACACACATTTGACCTGTAATATTTTAATGTTTAAATTATTTTCTGTAGAGTTTGTTCTTTAGAAGTTCTCATTTTAATATATTAATTTTTATATTTGTATTTAATTTAGCACATCTCAGTTCAGCACTGTTTTACTTGGAGTTTTATGTTCGTTTTTAATCCAGTATCCATTTAAAAAATATTGGTTAAAAAAAAAAAAATCGGTTATCGGCATGCATGGTCAAACCTAAATATCGGTATCGGTAAAATCCTGTCGGTCGACCTCTAATAATAATTATTTATTCCAATGGGCTATATGCAAGCATAAGTTCCGCATTTGACGCAAGGATGCTCGTCCATTTCCGGTTGTGGAGATTAAAGCGGAGGAAAACGGGACTATGGCAGAGTCTTCAAAATGTACTGTCCTCCCGTCTTTGAAACGAAATGTACATACGTTTAGATGTAATTTTATATATAGTTATGTTTATTTAGTATAATTTTAAAAAGAAGCATAAACACAACGAGGGGTGTCTGTTTTATCTGTTTTTGTGACTAACGTTTCTTTAGTATATCCATGGAGTATAAAATTCAATATACATTCTCGGTTTTGCATTGGACTCTACGATCGGCGGAAGTTATCGAGCATCCTTACACCTTCACCGGAAATAATGCCGTGCATAGAGCCCATTTCTATACTACAACAAATCTACATTAATCAATCAAATGTGAAAAAAAAACACTGCATATTCATTACATATGCATATAAATTAAATATAGATGGATCTTTTTGTAAAGTTACAAAAGGTAGCCTGAAGCTAGTCAAGAGCAGTGACTAATATATTTGTTTAAATAAAATAAAAACAGCAGCAGGTTTATATAAACCTGCTGCCCCTTTAAGACCAAACGAATGGACCCCATTTGAATATACTGTCTACGTTCACTTGAATTCGTCAGTACAAGCAAGAGTGTTAAAAGACAATTCAATTCAGTATTTGCGTGTTGAGACACTGGTTTTCAGGGAATGCGCTTTGGATGTTTGTGTCCTTGGAACTTCTTGACTTGGACACGTCCTGTAATAATGTAGGGAATCACTCGTTATACATAAATCAGGTACCAGTTCATGTTTTACTTACATGTACCAGTACAATTTAGTTTTACTACAAATAACATGTGCTGAGTGAACAATCAGCAAACAAGTGCATTCAACAGAAGTGCTCTCTCTCTCTCTTATAGAAAGTGTTTTCCTCTTATCAGCTCGCACACCACAGCTATAGGTGTTACTATATTTCGTTTAATATTCCACTAATAAGATACATTTACTTCATAGACAACCTTCTTTTTTATACTCATAATTATACTCTCTGTTGTCAGTGTTTCTTTGTCTAGACACGAGTGTACAAACCCTGCCTGGTATCGGTTGTTGGTATCGGAGCATTTTTACGAGTACATGAACTCAGCGCTGGGCCCAATATAGATACATCCCTAATGGAAAACTAATATTTTACATGAATAATCAAATAAATCAAGCATAATACATTTTTGGTGTTATAATAATGTATAATGCATCCATTAGTAAAAAAACCAAAAACTTTTAATTTTACTATCTTCTTTTGTATTAAAAAAATCATAGCATTCTCAGTTTTTTTTTTTTTTTTTTTTTTTTGAATTTTGATTGAAAGACAGCATTTTCAAGAAATGGATGCACTTCCCCATCATTTGCTTCATACGAGAACAACGGCTCAGTTCTGTTTTCTGTTCTATTATCCAAGCATCAAGTGGCCAGCGGAATGAAAACATAAACGGAACATTCAAGAAAACAGGAACTAGTTCAACATGACAAGTGCATCCAAACTAAACCAGAGTGCAACTTTTTTATCCATACGATGTCAAAACTGAAACCGATAATGTGACCTCTTTAACACACATGCACTATTTAAAGTTTGGTGGTAACTTGGGACTTTAAATAGAAAGCATCTGTGTGTAGAATGATGAACCAAGTTTACACCAAATTTAGCTTGTCTCAAATATTTACTCAGTTGTTTGTCTATTGATTTACTTATTGTTGGATATAATACAAACATAATGTCAAGGTCAAACTAAAATAACAAAGGACACTGATTACAAGTGACAATGATAAGAAGAGAGATAAAAAGTGTAGTTGTCAGTCCACTTCCTTTTTTAATACCTATGAGTAATTTGCAGTTAAAATGTACCACTGCAACCCAGTATTATGGTAAACTATGCTTAGCCAGACCTTGGACCAAATGAATGCATTCTATTTAGATGAAAGACTCTACTCTCTCAACACATTCACTGTTTTCTGTATAGGAGCACTAAACATTGAAAAAATACAGCAGATTGTGATGAATAGGTCAGATTTTGGCTGTCCACTTAAAAGAAAAAAAGAAAACTTTAGCAGTGGAAGAAAAAACTAGAGGAGACTGGAGAGAGGACAAAAGGAAATGAGTGAGAGGGTGAACAAGAAAGAAAACAGGACAGAGAACAGTCTGTACCTTCACACACTGCCAGGCAGACACATATTAACTCGGCCAACTCCCATCTGAAGTAAGGCCACTTTTTTTATACAGATGATTAATATTCACTTTGCATCAGGATTATCCCTCAGATGTCAGTTGCTTTTCAGGACGACAGAGGACTAGATGAATGAGGGACTGAGTTAGAAGGATAGGGCATTCAGGGTAATTTTCATGCCCCCTTAAACCAACTCCAGATTTTTCCTAGGATATGCAGTTGTGCACATACTTGTACATTTTTTGGAAATGGTAAAGTACTCATGTACTATAATTTTTATTATTATCATCATATGTTGAACAACAGCACAGCTGCTGACTCATCCACATACACTCAGACATATAAAACACACACACACACACACACACACACACACACACACACACACACACACACACACACACACACACAGCAGTGGATTAGTATCCTCTTTCTACAATCTCCATGCAAAACAATGCAAGGTTTGTATGTGCAATAACTGACCTGCTAGTGCAGTCTCTGCACTACTTCAACCATTAAATTGAATCTGTCAGATAACATTCAGACCACAACACTATATTCCCTAAGAGAACCAAGTGTTATGCCAAGTGCTTCATTATCTCTTCCGATACGCAAGTCTCAGACTCAGATATATAAAATAGGACTACTTTGCCCAAGAAGTGCAAAACTCTGGCATGTGCCAGTACAAGCCCTTTCAGAGGGCATTATCCACACAAAAGTTTTGTATAGTCTTAGCTCTCAGCCACTTTGACAGTCAGAGACTACATGACTAAGGTTTCAATCTGTGCCCTGACACTGAGCACTCCCTTCTTAACGTGGACAGATTTCCTTGATCCGTGACTGCTTAAATGTCGACAAAGGTGAAGTCAAATGTCTCCTAAGTTGTCGTAGATGATGTCTGGAGACTGCATGGTTGGATACCACGCATTTGGAGGTGGTTGATGTCTAGATACTTTGTTATACAGGTCCATGTTGTTTCCAGCACCTGCACCTCTTCTACCAACTTCCGTGCTGTCATGGCTGTTGCTACTGTTGTTGTTGTTCAGGTTAGCACTGCCTTTATTTTGAGGCAGTGGATGAGGGTCTTTCTTGGGCAATGCTACTTTGCTTGGTTTTGGTGCTGTGATAGGTTTGGGGCCTTTTGGTCTGGGAAGTGGCGGCGGTTGTTGAGCCACCTCCTGACCTTGAGGCTCTTCCATTCCCCTGGTTTTCCAGGGATGCACTTCCGAACGTGCTTCATCATAAAGCGTGATGATAGGAATTGTAGATCTGGCTCGTCCCTCTGGCTCATCATAGATGTGCTCTGTTGGACCTCCATCTGCAGGGTGTCTGTTTCGCCCATCGAGTCCCAATGCCATTGTACTTTGCACCAAGTCCAGACTGATATGATCATAGATGTCTGAGTAGAACGGCTCAGGCTTGATTCCTGAGTGGCGGCTACCCCCCTCTTCGCCAGTCGGCCTGAGGCGGGGGTTAGGAGTGGGTATGACTTTGATACTGTCCACCGGGTCTGAGTACAAACAGTCCCCTAGACTGGGCGGCGCACGGACCGAGTCAGCAGGCTCCGAGTACAGACTCCCTTGGTCCTCTAACAGATTTTTGGACCCACGAGGCATGGGAGACCGTGGAGGGGTCCCACTAACTGGAGGTGGCGGCTCTGGAAGGCTTCGGCCCTTTATGTTTTTCCCATCATTGTCCTTTCGACCAAAGACACCATCCGCAGACCCAGGCTTGCTACCACCAGAATCTCCATCTGGTTCACGACTGTTTGCTTCCGAGATGGCAGCACGGATCTGCTGGAGAGCTGGGCAGTCAGAGTCTAATGATGGAAAGCTTTGATGTCGTTCTTCAGCTTGGGCTTTCTGCTCCCGAATGGATTCCTCAACCATGTGAAATATCTCATTCCCCTGCTTTGTCTCAAAGGTGAAGTTCCCCGGCCCAGATTCACAGCGTCGCCCAGCTTCAAAAGAGAACATCACCTGCAGAGCATGTCAGAAATGCGACAACATGTTTGTGACATTTCTTCACTTTCATTCTAATTCTCTTATCCAGAACATGGTTGCTATTTGAATTAACCTTCTTTAAATGAATATTTCAGCATCTTACTTGAAAAAACCCAAAATGGACCCAACACAATGGTCTTAATAATCTTCTTGGACCCACTTTTTATTAGGTTTATTTAATTACTATGTAATAACATTTAAATTAATAATTTGATATGATGCACATTTTGCATGGTTTTACATTTGCTTAAATGTAAAAATACATTTAACCTTCACCTTCACCTACCACCCTTAAACCTTCACATCCCAGAGTAAACCAGTCCCTAATCTTACCCCTATCACCTTGATTGCAGCAAAAGTGTTTTACAATACAACATGATCAGAATAAGTGTATTGTACCCAACACATTTGGGGCATGAATAGTACGCCCCTTGGAATTATAAGGTTCTATCTGACATTTTGTCAAAATTGAGTTATTCACATTTCTTATTCTGTGACAACTTATTTACATTATGTGATTTTTTTTTTAGGTTGTGTACGTTGTGGGACTTTTTATTGAAAAAATAAAAAGGTTTTATCTACAAAGTCAAACTCTAACTTGGCTCTATAAGGCGTGAGCCAATCAGCACAAATGCACAGAAGAGGACCAGTCAGTATCAACTTTATATGTCCTGTCGCTGGCTTTTTCCTTAAAGACAGGAAAGATCGCAGACACACAATACCTGTGAGGATTATGGCATGCAACGCAAAGTTTTTAAGAAAACTTAGAGTCTTAGAGAGTATAAGTCTGTTTTAAAAAATGAGTTAGAGAAAGTATTATAGTTATGTGTTTTAAAAAATGAATCACATTTTTTGTGATTATATAGTCAGTGAATCATTTTTCAATGATTATTAAACTTTATTAATTCATTTGCTGAAGCATTTCTTTTTCTTGAAGTTTTTAAAGTATTAAAATGTCTTATTTTTTTTTTTTTACAATATTAAGCCTTAAATGTCAAATAGTCAGCAATTTAATTGATGGAGTCTTAATTACAACAATAAACATTAGCAGGTTATTTCAGCCATACTGATATCTAGAGAGACAGCCATTTTACCTTGTTTATATTTTAATGTTTTCGCAGATAGAACCTTATAATTCTAAGTGAAAAGTGTTGTTGTTTTTTTTAGAATTAGAAGGTTGTTATCTGCATTTGACCCATTAAAAAAATTACATATTTGAGAGGATTTTGATATTGTATATTTAGAATACATTTAGGGTCCGTATTATTTTCATGTCTGAAAGAAACTTGTTCCTCATATACATTTTCCTGTATGTAATGCAAAAACTTTGAAGCTCAATATCTCAAAACTGCTCAGAACGCAGATAGAACCTTATAATTCCAACTGGATGAGTAGTTAAAAACATCAAATTTAAATTGAGACCATCTTTTCAAACTATCATGACCTGCTTTCAATAGTCATTCACCGCATTAGCTCTGCCTTCCGCCCAATCATAAGGGATAGAGGAAGGCCAGCTTCCTGTACCCAGACAGTTTCTATAGTAAAGACAGGAAGCAGAGTTGGAAACAACAGTGGTTTAAGTTCCTGCTTTATATGTCATCTGTAGTATGAGGCCAGCTGTCTGCAACAATGTTGGGTTAACGCAAACAGCCGTTAGATTATTTTAGACATGATGCGTGCCGTCTACATGCTAATGTGTGGGTGTCTATTTACTATGTATATACAAAGTCAAGGCTAAGGCCATTTTGAAGGTTTTTCATCATCTGTTACCCTCCTACAGAAGATATTCACTGCCATTGAATATCATGCAAGTTACCATTTATAGCACTTTACACTGATTTTGAATTGGTTTGAAACTTTGTATAACTGAGGACAATTCAAAATTAGAAAATAAAACTCACTCGGTCTCTTCCATAGCGACGGAGAAGTTTGTATGGCCATATGAATAAATCCTTTTTAGTCTTGGGGTCCTTCAGAATAAGGTTATCCACATTAGCTCTAAGCCAGTAATTACCAGATAGACCACAGCGCTCTGATGCTTCTGTCCTCTGGACACTCACCCAAAATTCATTTACTGAAAAATAGAAAATGGAAGGTTATGAGTTCACTTCAGATATAATATTGTAAGACAGGTATAATTTGTATGTGGGTCAATGGAAAAAAGATAAATCCATGATAAAGAAAAAGAAACCTCTTTAAAATCGCATTTAAAAACACATGCTAAGTTTTTACAAATGTACTCTTCATGTTGGTTCTGAAAAAAACTTTTATGCCATTTTAAAAAAACAGGTTCAATTTAATAATTCTAAAAATGTGATATGATTACTGTATGATGTAAAATTAAATGTATATTTTTCTTCAATCACATACCTTAATAAAATGTTTTCACAATTATTTTTAAGGTATAGAGTTTTGGTAACACTTTACTTGAAGGGGTGTGCATAAGACTGACATGACACTTTCATAATCATGACATGACATATGTCATGAATATGAAGGAGGTTTTATGCATGTTTATGACAACTGTCATTAAGTGTCATTCGCTTAATTATGACATTTTTAATGCAAATATAACATTGTTTGATATGTATTTGTCATGACAACTTGACATAAACCAATACATCATAATCTGTCATGTCTTTGCACACCCCTTCAAGTAAGGTGTTACCACAGGTTTAAAAAAAAAAAAAAAAAAATTCAATATAACAAATTATGTTTTTTTGGCAATTGCATAACATTTTTACTAACTTTGTATTGTATAAAAAAAAACAAATATGATATTTTATTGACCTTGAGGGTCTGCAGGGGTCCTCTCTCTATGAAATCATTTCCTGTTTTGTTTGTGCTCCATGCTTCTGCACTTAGGTTACACCATGTGTGAGTGATTTGGCGTACAATTTGTTTTTTAATATTTTGTTAAAATATTTTTTGTTATGTATAATTACAAAGATGAAAGAAAGAATGGTGAACTACTTAATTATTTTAATTAGGCCTCTTCTCATGAAACCAGAACAGCTGTAATACATGCTAATCATAGTGTTTTATTCAGGTTATTTTGTAGCTGTAACTTATTGACCCTTAATAGCACAGTCAAGATGCATATAAGATTGATGAAGTCTAGTACATTTTTTCACAACACATATTGTTTCAAAACAGCTTTACGGAGTTTTAAATTGTGACTGAGTGTACTGTATGTAGGCAAATAAAATTAGATATAGTAGTTGGGATTACTAATTTGTTATGTGGTGATATGGATAAAAACCTCTCCTTTATATGGGCTTAAAGTATCGCGATAGAATTGTATCATCAGTTCTGTATCATAGACTGCAAAAAAAGATTATGCCCCTTAAAGGTACACTATGCAAGATTTTTCACAACCAGGGGTCGCTAACCTCTTACAATAACAAAGGCGTATATTGATGACGTATATTCTGCATTAAGCGGAATTATGGATCTTGTCGTCAAGCTAATGGATCTTTTATGGATGAGTGAATACAGTGATGTTTTTAACATGACTGGTATGAAGCCGGGCGCGATTGCTAGACGTACCAGCGCCACACGCAACGCGAGTCCCGCGGATATACTGTAAATAAATAAGGACCTTTCATTCTACCGAACTACACGCAAGTGCTGGATTAATACTCAACACAGACACAGGTCAGTTTATCAGACGAATGAAACTAGTGCTGTTTCACTTGCTATAACAGTTACACTATCACACTAAACGTCATTTGTGGGTGGAATGTTGTTAGTTAGTTTGTGTGCTGTGTTGGCTGTATGAGACAGTAAGCTAGATCAACATTAGAATAACATACAGATCATATTCTAACTTTTCATAATGTTGAACTACATAACATTGATTAGTTTTATGTACATTTGCTCACCTGTCTAATAAAGTAACATGCAACACTCACGTCTCTGTCAAGTCGAAGTTAGTCCTGAATGTGGAGCTCTATGGATTTGAAAAGATATTGATCTTTGTTTTAGTCCTCTTTTTGTCTCTAAGTCTGCTTGCCAAGGTCTAAAATGTTTGAAAAAAACAACAATAGCGTGAGCGTTCTTCTAGGCATAACGGGCAAAACTGGCGTAACCCAGTTGTCAATGTCTGTCGCCATAGTTACTATTGCAGCACGAGTTCAAACCTGGTGGAAACTGAGGGTAACATGGATATAACGCTATCGACTGGCGACTCCTCACCTCTGCTCACACGCCCTGTTTCCTTGGTTAAAATCGCAATTTTCTCACGATTTACAAATGGTTGGAAACATTTGTGACATTGTAAGTAATCAACTAAACAAAATATATAACATTGGCCTAGTGTTTTTTGGATATTTTACTGCAAAAATCGTGCATATTGTACCTTTAACTCTCTTTCATTGGTGAAAAGGAAAGCCGCCAAAATCCTAATATGGCGCTGACATTTTGCACAGATTTGGGACCTGATTCTGTGTATTAGTGAATGCGGGACTCGAGTCTACGCAGTAGTGAGCATAAAGTGGAGCCACAATTTCAAGGTGCCACCCTCAATCCCACAGAAACAGTTAGCAAATCATTTACTATGTGAAATAAACAGTTATTGACATGTAGAAATTAAAGTTGAAGCTCCAATGTCCTCCCAAAAATCCCTCCAAAAATCTGTTGGTGCCTCTGTGACTTTTTCGTTTAGAGAAGCGGTCAATCGTGACGTCACAATCCAGTTTTTATAGCATCAAATAACAAACTAAGATCAAACTTATTTCGAAAAAAAAAAAAAAAAACGGACACTTAAATTAGTGTGATAAAAACTACCTAAAATGACAGAAAACATCTTTGGAAAAGTAGACTTCATGGGTAAGGTGGGATTTATGACCAACCACATGAGGGTGATCCAGACGCTTTTGCTTCACTTTCAGCACAGTGCAGCAAGCTTGTTAAGTATTGGGTAACACTTTATTTGAAGGGGTGTGCATAAGACTGACATGACACTGTCATAACACCTGTCATGAACATGAAGGAGTCTTTATGAATGTTTATGACTGTTGTCATTAAGTGTCATTCGGTAAATTATGACACTTTTAATGCAAAGTTGACATTGTTTAAAATGTCTTTGTTATGACAACTTGACATTAACCAAGACAAAAAATGTCTTTGTTATGACAACTTGATATTAACCAAGAAATCATAACCTGTCAACCTGTCACAAATATGTCATAACATGCAGGTCTAATTATCAAACTTAAAGAAGTTATTTAGCTTTGTGTTAACATTACATTACCCTGTCATATGTTATGGTTGGTTTTAACTTTGGTTGTCATGACACCATTATAACTGTGTCATGAATATTTTACTTGTCCTCAAGTGAAGTGGAACACATTGTACTAGCTATAATGATGTCATTAAGGGTTATTACACAGTCAAATGCTTTAACAACAGTGTCATTAATATTTCCCCTTACCTCAAGTAAAGTGGAACACGTTGGACTAGTTATGATTTCTTGGTTAATGTCAAGTTGTCATAACAAAGACATTTTAAACAATGTCAACTTTGCATTAAAAGTGTCATAATTTACCGAATGACACTTAATGACAACAGTCATAAACATTCATAAAGACTCATGACTTATGACAGTGTCATGTCAGTCTTATGCACACCCCTTCAAATAAAGTGTTACCAAGTAGGGTGAGTTGTATTGAGTTGTGAAAGTTTAACGTTAAAATTTGTGTACTGACAAGACTAACAGAAGTAAGTTATGTGGCTTTACAAGTAAAACTGAACATTTTTTGAATCTCAGGAAATTAGCCAACACTGGTGTTTTTCAAATCACGTAGGAACAGTATAAAAAGTACAATGAGGATGTTTTTAATTTGATGTGTCCTGTGCGCTATATCCCAGCTAAATTCAGCACAGATACGCTTCTGCTTATCAGAAACGAAAAGGCCATCACCGGTTACCTCACTTTCCTCTGCTTTTCTAAATGCTTCACTGTAATCTACGTTTATTGTCTTGTCTATCTCTGGATTTGGCTTTTAACTGAAATACCCCTGGACAGGGCACAAACAATCATTATTCAATACACATTGCACTCTGATGCCCACCGTCATACACTGCCATGGCCGAAAAGGTCTATATAAATGATAGTCAGAGTGGCAAGACTGTATTTTAGCAAAGCCTTTTAAATGTCAGCTCTCGCACTCTTTGAGGAAGTCAGTGCTGCCCTTACTAAAAACAGAAGTGATCACAAACTATTTCCCTAGAAACACTCGAGAATGCACAGCAGGAGAAGAGGTAGTTTGTGCTTTAAGTGGACTTAATAGTGGCTCCTTAACTGTTTACCTTGCATAGCACTGGATGAAGTGAGTGCCAGCAATGAAGGAGGGGCTCGAGGAAATGCCTGAGATTCTGCTCTACTTTCTGTCCTCCATTTGCTTGTTAGCCCTTTGCACCTTTCACTGTGACTATTAAAATAAAATGAGTGACACAACCAACTACATCTTGCTGGAAACAGCTCTCGAATGTTTAACTACAGTACGTTCAAGAGCTCTAATATTTTGTGCTTTGTGACTACTAACATGAGCAGGAAATTTGCATGCATACTAATCTGTTTAGATTTGCATCTAGAACATTTCAATTCACTGATCTCAGATCAGTTTTGCTGGTCTAGATAATATACAAATAACTTCAGTCTAGGAACCAAAAAGTAACTGAATTGAGAGAGGAGATGATGTCTAAGTCCTATGTTTTGAGAAACTCATTGCACATGGAAATAGTACTTGGAGTTGTAGAGATCAAAAGAAAAACCAAAAAACTGCTGTCGCACACAGTTTGTTAAAACGCGTGAGTAAATTCATACTTTGTCACATGTCTCTTCTTACCTTCCTCTCTGGAGTAATAAATTAGATTTTCTGCCATTTGTAGCTCTTGCTGTCCATTTGAGTCAAAACTACTAAGAGAACCACTTCCTCCCTTAGAGTGATAGAGACAAAGAGAGAGAGAGAAAGTGAGACAGAAAGAGAGATGCTGAGTTAGTATAGGGACAGAGTAATATTCCATTTGGAAATTCCCAACATGTCTATAATGGATTTTAATATTCCAAATACATCCATAACCTCATTATAATATGGTTTAAAGGTTATCACACGTGTGATACAGCTGAACAGAATTCATTCATTTTCAAACCACACATTTTATAAATTCAATTCATTGTAAAAGCTGTTAAAAAAAATCACATCTCTCATTCTACTCAGGGGCAAAGTCACGAGCATTAACCACATAGAACCTTTAACCATTAAAGAGACTCCATGATGTCATCTCACCTGAAAAGCAATCTCACACATCTTCTCCACCCACTCATTGGTAATATATTTCTCAGCTGCAAAGATGTACGTCTTTTCATTGGTCTCCACATAGAAGGCAGCCATGTTTTCTTTGGGGCAGGTTTCAGTGACAGCAGGCAGTATGCTGATGCATTCTGACAGACGGATTATCTTCTTGTCCATTTTCTTAGTGCTGGGTTTATCACTGGCGCTGCCCGAGCAATCATAAAATTCAAGCCTTGCGATGCCGTTTTGACTGGCTGGGAACAGTACGAACCAGTTCTTCTTCCATTTCTAAAAAGGAGAGAGGGGAACAGGGTGTTTGTACTCATCTATGAAGATCTGGCAGTGTCTTATGTGTCTAAAACGTCCTGAAAATACATACACACAAAACTATTTCTGTTAGTTTGAATCTAGACATAATATAGATAATATCAACTCATGTTCCCTCAAGTCACTGTCCATTAAAAGGGAATTCGCTTTATCTATTTTATAAATGCATCTTATTGTGTTCAATTTATCCATCCATATTTATTTATTTATTTATTTATTTATTTTTTAAGCTGCAGTCCAGAGTTTTTCCTCTTTGTCGCCATCTCTGTTTGAAATCTGCAATTGCAGTCATTCGCAGAATTATCAACTTTATGTGAGTTGTAGTTCAACACCCTCGACATGGCACAGCGCAGATTTTTTTTTTTCAAACAAACTGTTTGAGGAGACTGTGAGGCTGTCAGTCACCGCACCGGTGTGGATACTACTGGCATACTGGAATCACAGATTATTCTTTTTGGAAGTATGACCAACATAAGAATTTTCACCAGAAAATGTCATCTGAACTAGGAAAAAACATCTGGTTCTGACATTGCAGTAATTAAATCTAACAATCGCTTATAGGTTATATCACGCAAAACAGTGCAAATTATACTTTATACTACTATACTATATATATATTGTCCTTCCGATATGTATTGTTGTTTTCGCATGGGCCGGTTGCAGTCTCTTTTTCTGTCGCCTCTCCGAAGTCCGAACGAAGTCTTTTGCATTTGCACTGGAGATTGTTGTTTGAACCTTGCTGGATCCGCCAAGGCTATATATATCCACCTCCAACATCCTTCTCACCCAATATAGCCGACTAGCCGATACTCCTCCTTTATGTGTACAGATGTGATGTAAAGACGCGAAGACATGCTCGAATCTCCTGCGGAAATCCACCAGTACCACTGGAATTAAAAACATGCTTACCACTTTGAATCGAGCTAAGGCGAGCAGATAGTTTTGAACACTGGCTGGTTATGTATTTTCCAACCCGATCTCACGACCAAGTCGTACGAATTCGATGAATGATTAAAAAGTGGCTAATTCGTAACAATTCATACGACCTCACTCGTACGAATTAATACGATTTTGCTAAATCGTACATATTTTACGAATTGGCCAATTCGTATGAATTCGTACGAATGACCTACCCCTTACCCCGCCCCTAAACTTAACCATCACGTGGGTTTAGACAAATCGTACGAATTAGTACGAGTGAGGTCGTACGAATTAGTACGAATTAGACACTTTTTAATCATGCGTCGAATTCGTACGAATTGGTCGTGAGATAGCGTTGGTATTTTCTCAAATATGTATTTTGGATCATTTTTAACCCAGAAAAAGCTATGGCAGACTTTTCTCTGGTGGTGTACACTGGAATCTTCCAATCATTTAGTCGGGTTAAAGGCCTCCCTTTTGTTAAAATAGTTCAATCCATTAGTTGTTAATTGGATGGAAGCAGATCAGAACATGATCTTGAGGTTGATTTAAGTCCCTGCCCTACATTTTTCTTTTTCAATAATTAGTTTTACTCGCGTCAATATGGAAGTAAGATCTGTCGCTACTTCGCAACTTTAAAAATTAACTTCCATGTACTGTATCTGCAAATCATTGTTGAATTAAATCAAGGCCATGAAATCTGGAATTTTTTACAGGAGGAGTGTCAAACTTCTTCCTTTATTTAGCATGTAGGGTCATAATGCTGAGGTCAACAAGAACTTGACAATGATGACTTTAAAGCCCCTTCCTCCAGATGGACATTGAAAGGCAGACTGCAGCAAACAAAAGACATCTATGTTTGTGTGTGTGAGAGAGAGGAGTGTCAGTTCCTCCTATTGTTTGTAACGTAACAAGAAAAGACAATAACCTTCAAACAAAGGCACAAGTTTTTCAAGCTGGTTCAATATTGTGATGCAGATGTGTTGTTGCTAATGTCAAGTCAAGTATATTTAAATAGCGCTTTTCACAATTTAGATTGCATCAAATCAGCTTCACAGTATCAATCAAAACATAATAACAATGTCCGTTTCTTAGTGAAAAAGCATCCACCTTTGGTAGAGCTAATCAATGGAATTACTGATTGGTTAATTAATTTGTAATGCAGTGTACACACTACCAAAGCCAGTCTATTAGAAGAAAAGAAACAAACCATCATGATATGTGGAGTTATGAATTGCGTTTTTAGTATCTTATACTGTTCCTTGAGGTCCATTAGTAATAATGGTAGGATTTTTACATCAAAGGCAGGCATAATTCAGAAATAATTTTCTATAATGCTTTCGTTTAAACGGGCCTGTCTTCTTTAAGACTTCAATGTAAACACCCACTGCTATGATTGGGTAACATCTTTGCATATATATAGGTATTATACATGTAGAAACTAGAGATGTTCATTTAGGTTTTTTTCTAACCGACAATCGATGCTCATTAACAGATCATTTACTGTTAACCCGACAAGATTATGTTGAATTATAATTCAATTAAATTAGAAACGATAAGTGTCTGTGACCCAGTAAAAATCTAAAGTTTGTTTTCTAGGGTTAAGTTTTACTTGCATAAATAGCAGCATAAACTACAGAACATGGGTTTTTACACATCATCACATCACACACTTGGCTAAGAACGTGGAAATTTGAATACGTGTGAAGTACAAAGCCTATATGTGTCAAGCAGGCCGAGGGCCGTGAGGACGCCGCGAGTATGAATTTTTAAATGCAAATGAGCTGCTGCTCCCCACAATCCAGAATAGCACTGTGCCTTTACAGCTTGTGCCTCGGATACTCTGCTAAAAACTGGCAAAACATCTGTTTGTTTTTGATTATCATTTCTAAAGCAGCCCCTCTCACGTGACATTGGCGTTCTTGGTCATTATGAAAGTTTATTATTTGCATGCTTTAAAGCCATATCAGTTTAAACTTCAGATATATGGTTTTATGAGCGCACAGAAAGCTGGCTGTCAGACAGTCCGTGACTATTAAACTAAATTCTCTTTTGCATCTTAAACTGTCAAAGTTTATTATGTTTGTGAACGTAAACAGACGGGAAAGAAATCGCATGTGTATATTAAATCTGTGTATTAAAGTGACAGCAGTGTTACATACCTACTGCTGTATATGCTGTTAATATTAAAGGGATACTCCACCGGGTTTTCATATTAAACTATGTTATTCCCTTAACTAAGACGAGCTGATGCATACCTCTCTCGTCTCAGTGCGTGCACTCTATCGCTCTGTATTGCCGCAAAACTATGTTAGCACTTAGCTTAGCCCAGTGCATTAAATATGGGCCCAAAAGAGAAGCGACCAAACACTTCCTCGTTTTCCCTATTTAAACACAGTTACTCGATTAGTGTAACTCGACCTAGGCTGGTTTTTCTAAGCGTTTAAAATTGATGACTATATTGTATGGCGGAATACCATAAAAAAGTGCTTTAGAGCACTTCAACTTGGCGCAATAATACCTTCACTCGTGAAAAGTCCTCTTACCGGCTCCCGCTTCCTCGCTCTCCCCCTCCCTCTTATTTCCGTCAATGCAGCCAACGTGACATGCGACAAAGCGGGAGCCGGTAAGAGGACTTTTCACCAGTGAAGGTATTATTGCGCCAAGTTGAAGTGCTCTAAAGCACTTTTTTATGGTATTCCGCCATACAATATAGTCATCAATTTTAAACGCTTAGAAAAACACAACGTTTTATTTTGTGTCACCAGCCTAGGTCGAGTTACACTAATCGAGTAACTGTGTTTAAATAGGGAAAACGAGGAGGTGTTTGGTCGCTTCTCTTTTGGGCCCATATTTAATGCACTGGGCTAAGCTAAGTGCTAACATAGTTTTGCGGCAATACAGAGCGATAGAGTGCAGCACGCACTGAGACGAGAGAGGTATGCATCAGCTCGTCTTAATTAGTATAGGGGAATAACATAGTTTAATATAAAATCCTGTGGAGTATCCCTTTAATCAAACAACAAAAGAAAAACAGAAAATCACACAGTGTTTGATTGAATAACTTTAGTAGCTTTAATATGAATACATTTCTTACTTGAATGCTGCTGTTAGATGCTCTAGCGGGGAGATAAACATGGCGGTCTGTCTACAGCTCACTCGGGGGAGGAGCTAAGCTAATAGTTACCAGTTGTGGACTTGGATTATTTCCCTTGATTTATGGGGAAATTAACAAATGGAGTGGATGAATTTTGCCACAGGGGGGTTGTGTACACACATGATTATGTTCAAAAACAATCTAAAAGTTAACTTTTCATAATACACCCCCTTAAAGGGATACTCCACTTTTTTTGAAAATTGGCTCATTTTACCACTCCCCCACGGAGTTTTACCGTTTTCGAATGTATTCAGCCGATTTTCTGATATTTAGGCCCCGTTTTTCACGAAGGGAAAACGCAGAAATTTCCCTGCGGTTTGGCCTCTCATTTACATGAAAACCCTGTTTTTATCAAAGAAAACGATTATTTCTAAAAACTCCGGCCAAAGTGGAGATTTGTGAAAACGACATTTATGTGTTGGCCTGTCAACTGGGAGACACAGCGTTTTAGGTTCTCTCTTGTCGATTCTGAGGATACTGATTGGCTTGCATGGCTTTTGGCATAGATATGATGGCGCTCGACGGCGTATTTATGCGGGTGTGTGCACGATGTTATTATTGAAAACGGAGAGGGGGAAAATATTTGTTTCTCTAAATACCCGGCTTTGTGTAAAAGTGGCCTCAAGTTTAACATCAGTAACCAGACAGTTTCTGGTCTCATTTAAACTGGGTATCCCTTTAAACTGGTAGTAATAATCTGTCAAAATACTGCAGGTTAATGGTTAAACATGTAATTATGAGCATCCCTATGTGGAACTATGCAATTGTGATTACAGTTGCTGGATAACGGTAACAGAGCAGAACTTGTGCTGATTGCAACAAATGATTAACAGCTCCAGGATTATAAAAGAGAGCGATCCTTGATCACTTTCTGTATAATTTA